ATTCAGAAAATGACCCTCACGACCTGCTTTTATACATGCTTGCTTTAGCAAAATCATGCATGGCGGTGTAGACATACTGCATGACTAAGTCTTTGCTTTTTACAAACAAAACACTGCCCTGCCATTTCAGGAATCTATTCAGTTCAGAAACACCAACTGTGGTCAGTGAATAATAACACTCAGTTATACTCACAGGAGCTTGTGTACGTCCGTTCTCATTTGAAATGTTCCTGATATTGATGTCATAAAGCTTTCCAACTTGTCCAAAGCAAAACAACTTAAAAGGTGATTTATTGAAGAGGAGCGCACAGACTGCTGAAACCTCTCTGAAAAATACTATCAATTTCCAAAGCTCAAAATGTGAGCTTAAAATATTGATACACATTCAGTGATAAACAACAAGAAAAACCGTCAGCACAGTGTAACCAGGTGATAGTGACCAGGTGACAGTGACCAGGTGACAGTGACCAGGTGACAGTGGCCAGGTGACAGTGACCAGGTGACAGTGGCCAGGTGACAGTGACCAGGTGACAGTGACCAGGTGACAGTGGCCAGGTGGCAGTGACCAGGTGACAGTGGCCAGGTGACAGTGACCAGGTGACAGTGGCCAGGTGACAGTGACCAGGTGACCAGGTGACCAGGCTATAGATAGCATAGCGACTGGCATTGCTCACACGCAACCTGCAACATGTCACGTGAGTATGTTCTGGTGTATAGAAGGGTAATTAAATTTTGGTTACAATTATTGTCTATGCCTAGATATCGCAATCTAAAAATATGTTACAATATGTTGGTACAAGCTTCTAATGCCGGAAAGGCTAACTGGGCTACTAACTGTAAACATTTGTTATTCAGTTTAGGTTTTGGGTATATCTGGGAACAACAAGTCGTCATTAATCCAGTTTCTTTGTTGTCTGATAAATTTCCAGCTTGAAATTTATAAATGAGCAAGATTGGCGAGGTTCACTTCAAACAGGTAATAAAACTTTCATTTATTCTTGTTCTAAAACTTCCCTTTCAAAGGAGTTATATACATGTACTGGGTTTGTCAGTTTTAGAAAGTTTAGATATGCATTAGCTCAGGTCAGATGTTCTTCTCACCAGCTCCATATTGAAACTGGCCGGTATTTCAATACCAATGTAACATGTGTAAAATTTCTTCTTTGAGTGGCATTTTAGAAGTTGGGAAGTACAATATAGAACAAACACCCGAGTGAAAGAACATCAGACCTCTGTTACCAATTCCGACAGCAAATCAGCCACTTCCGACCACATCAAAGCAAGCCCCAATCATCAAATAGAGTGGTCTGACATCACCGTTTTCTCTAACAAACAAACAGACTTCACTAAACGCAAGCTCACCGAAGCCATCCACATCAAACGCCAAAAGCCCACCATCAACCGAGACCAAGGATACTTCATTCCATCCGCTTATGATGCACTCATCCACCAAGCCCAGTCTACTGTATAAACTCTGTTGTATAAACATCTCATTATTATTTGTACATCATTGGCTTCCACGCCTGTCCTTTGTCTACTCATCAGCTTTCTGCCTAGCCAGTTATGTTAATTATGTTTTTTTTGTGTTACATTGTTACATCCAGTATATATATACTTCCCCCTTCTTCATGTTCCATTATGCTTGACAACGGTACAAGAATCTGTATCGAAATGTCGCATTCACGAATAAACAGAAGTTGTTATCCATAAAGTTTATTCTGTAATGTGTAAGATTGGCTACGTGGAGGACGAGTTTCATTTTCTTCTGGTCTGTCAATCATATAGAAATCTAAGACACAAACATATACATTGTAAATATTATATACTAGTATTTCCAACCAGGTCTAAGTTCAATATCTTAATGTTAACTTCTAATTGTGAATTATTAGGAAACTTATCTCTGCACACCTATAAAGCTATGCTGCTAAGAAAGGTATCGCTACTAATTATTGACAGTTAAAACAACTTATACATAGATATATCAAATCATCTTTATATATGTATTGTTAGCACGTCTAGACAATTGTTTACTGTATTGTAGTCATGACCCGATGGCCTACACTATTGCCGTATATCTGTGACACCGCGTCCTATCCCATACAGCGAGTATAAACCTGTCATGAGGTAGGAAAAGTACTGCAAGTCTCCTTGGTCTCGGGTACGGTGATCACCCTTCATGTACACAAATAACTTAAAAAAAGAACCCTCGTACTTTTGCAATGATAAGTTTTCAAAACGTACATAAAACTTCTCGTGGTGACCACGATGGAAAAACATGAATTTGTTTGACCCGCATGATCCTTTGACACATAAAAAAATGAAAAAATGATTGGAATTCATGTTGATTTTATGATGATAATTGCTCATTTAGAAAAAAAAGTACTGCTTTTCATACAAAACCATGTCTGTACAAGTATGGCCCTGGACTGCTTAATGTTGAATTTATTGCTGAATGTGAACATTCAAAATGTCATTGTGCGTGTCTTACACGATTCAAGGTCAATACCGAGTGTAACCTCCATGTGACTGCATGACAGCCGGCACTCTCCTCCTCATACCCCCTCTCAACCTCCTGATCCTCTAAAGGGGCAGTCAACACCATCCCTCGTGTAAAGCAAGTTCCAATTGGACCAGGTTCTGTACAGGAGGATCCCTTTGTTGCACACGACGACCAGTCATGTCCCAGATATGCTCCAAAGGGCTCAGATCGGGGTCATGCAATCGTGAGATAAGTCATGGCCCAGATAGCATTCCGACGTTGGCCCAACGTTGGCAATGGTTGGCAACGTCGGGGTCGGATTTCATACGTTGGCCCGACGTTGGCCCAACATCGGGGAAGCATCGCGGATATTTTATTCAAGGGACGCTACTCCAAACTGTTAGCTTTTCCCAGAGGGCGCTCAGATTCTTCGAGCAGACGATGCGACATGATCACAAGCTTGGCCATTGAAGTACAGGTTTCCTCGAATATATAGCGGTTAGTGTTTCATTTTGTGTTTTTATTATGTTCAACTCTATTTCAGAACTGTGCCCAGCGAAAGAAAGTCATGGTTCATTCAGAAGTCGGCGAGTAACCCTCGCCTGCTCGCTGTATCGCGCGTAAATATGCTGTAGTGTGGATCTAACGTTTAAATACAGTCCGGAGACCACGAGCCGTCCATCCACCTACATGACCACCGAATGATCCCGAATGTGGCATTTGTTATACGATGGTTGATTGTGGCAACAGTAAAAAAATATTACAGTTACAGTAGCAGTCATCCATGTAATCGACGTGCGGAGCTTCACTGGTGTAAGCCAATCGCGAGTTCAGTTTTCGATCACTGTCTGGGCATGTACAGACTCGTGCCGGTTATATTCGGACACTTCACGTAATTTCCATAGGCTAACATGTTATTTCAGTGCAGCATAAATAATTTTCATGAAGTGAGTTTAGGATGAATCTTTGTAAAATTTGACACTCAGACAGGCAAATGTGAAATCAGCTTGGCTCTGCGCACATAATTTCATTTCAATTTTCCGTCCACTATTTAAATAATTGTTGCGTTTCGATAAATGAGCAGCAGAAAATTAAACAGAAATTATGTGATCGTAGGTAAGATTATTCCTCACGAATGTGCAAAATTTGACTTGCATCTTACACAAATTAAATCAGTGAAAACTCGTTTATGCTAAACTGAATTAACACGTATGTCTATGGAAACAAAGTCGCTTCAGTATGCAAACATATATATTTCATACGACTGCATCGTTTTTTCGACATTTTCTGTTATCATCTAAGCTATGCTATTTTACAAATTTCCCCAACATCTGAATACTTACAAAACATTTTTTATTTTGCATTTATTCTATATTTGAATTACCAGTTTTAATAGAATGTAAGATACAATAGAAAGGTAAATTTACTGCTTTACAGTAATCACCATATCTACTGACACCAGTTACATCATTCTTTTAAGAAATGGGGTTAATCTACATTGGTTAAAGTAAGAAAGTGATAGCTTGTGGTTTCTCTGCAGGTGATGTTTACAGTTTGTGGCAGCATTTTCACGTGAAGTACAGAAAATGAAGGAGTGGTGATTCCAACTGCTGTACCCATACAAAAGGTATGTACAATAGTCGCTTAAATAAGTTCGTTGTGTATATAGTTACTTGCAAGTTTTAAATCTAAAGCTGCGATTTTCGGGTTGTATTCCTGTCCGTTGATTGTTTTTGTTAATGTGTAGGTTTCATATGGCTGAATTACTGCCGATGTGGATTTTAAGTTTAACTCACTCACACTCTGATATTCAACTACTTGAGAGTGACTGGCCAACATCATATGTTGTCATATGTTGCGTTTTTAAAAAACGCTTGTTTTCTTTTTAAATTTGATTTTGCAAATTGTATTTAATATTGATATAATGAAATGTTCATATCAAGAAATTCTTTGTATTTAACTGTGTATGTGTAGATTTGTTTCATCCTTATATGAGTGAAATAATGCCGATTCGACGTAAAATATTACTCACTCACACTTGCAATACATGTAGTTGGTTAATAAACGGGATAGGGTGGTCATGCTCGCTGATGTATTTGACACATGTCATCGTATCCAAATTACATAGGTCGATGCTCATGCTGTTGGCCACTGGATTGTCTGGTCCAGACTAGATTATTTTCAGACCGCCGTCATGAAGCTGGAACATTGCTGAGTGCGGCGTTAAAGGACAACCAACCAAACAACCAAACATACTTTATACACTATTTTCTTTTTCTGGCTTGATTTTTTCCGGGCATAACGCGTCTGAACTACAAAAACACAAACTGAAACAATTTTCATTTATATTTATTGACAATTTTTCCAAACTCACTGAAGCACGTAATTAGCAATACGTTTGTTGCTGCTATTACAGATGCGTATGCAGCCCAAAACGGTAAACTAGAAGCTCATCATTTCACTGGTGTTATATTGAAGAGTGCGACGTAACACGTCTGGGATGGCCGGTAAGCAGTGGAGGTTACAGTTCGGACGCAATGGCATGCAATGACACCCAGAGATCCTCGCCCGTCGGGATGATCTCACTTTCCGGGAGCTGGAACCCGGCGTTGTCATTGGAGTCGGGTCTCATCTCGTAGGTCATGGCGTACGGGATGTTGGCATTTAGGCGGGCCCAATCTGAGGACGTTCCGGAGGCCACGTCTGAAAACACATTAGGCAAGAATATTGATAATAATTATATTAACACAGTCGTTCTGATGAGAACCTCTGGGTAATGCAGATGAATTCAGTGTTTAGCCCTTCTGATGGGAACCTCTTTTTAATGCAGATGAATTCATTGTTTAGCCCTTCTGATGGGAACCTCTGGGTAATGCAGAAGGTTTCAGTGTTTAGCCCTTCTGATGAGAACCTCTGGGTAATGCAGAAGGTTTCAGTGTTTAGCCCTTCTGATGAGAACCTCTAGGTAATGCAGAAGGTTTCAGTGTTTAGCCCTTCTGATGAGAACCTCTGGGTAATGCAGATGAATTCATTGTTTAGCCCTTTGATGGGAACCTCTGGGTAATGCAGAAGGTTTCAGTGTTTAGCCCTTCTGATGAGAACCTCTAGGTAATGCAGAAGGTTTCAGTGTTTAGCCCTTCTGATGAGAACCTCTGGGTAATGCAGATGAATTCATTGTTTAGCCCTTCTGATGGGAACCTCTGGGTAATGCAGAAGGTTTCAGTGTTAAGCCCTTCTGATGAGAACCTCTAGGTAATGCAGAAGGTTTCAGTTTTAGCCCTTGTGATGAGAACCTCTAGGTAATGCAGAAGGTTTCAGTGTTTAGCCCTTCTGATGAGAACCTCTGGGTAATGCAGAAGGTTTCAGTGTTTAGCCCTTCTGGTGGGAACCTCTGGGTAATGCAGAAGGCTTCATTGTTTAGCCCTCCTGATGGGAACCTTTTTTTAATGCAGAAGGTTTCAGTGTTTACATTGACGTAATGTCAAGCTTTTTACAAAGGTACAAGAATCTGCATCAAAACGTCATAGTCACTAAATATAAAGAATTTGGTACCCATTGTTTGCCAATATTGTACTTCCCAAATTCTGAAATGCCATTCAAAGAAGTTACTTCTGCGTCATGCAGAAGGTTTCAGTGTTTGGGAGTCTTCACATTCTTCGAAAAGTTCTTGTCGGGTTCAACTGGACAGCACTCAGCAAGGTCCCAGCTATATGACAGAGGTTTGTCATAACTCCTATCTGGAGGAGAGAATCTAGTAATTGAACTCATGAGCATCGATTTACGGACTTGAGAAACGATGGCATTTCTCAACTAAGTCTCACAACCCGATCCCGTTAGCCGCCCATTACGACAAGCATCGGTTGCTGAATGCGAATTCTAATCACAACAGGCTCGGTTATCAGTTCTAACCCTTGTGTTCACCGATGGAGGATTAATGGATTGATGGTGTTGTTATTGCTGCTGTCGTTGTTGTTGATGATGATGATGATGATGATGATGACGACGACGACAACGATGATGATGGTGGTGGTGGTGGTGGTGGTGGAGGTGTTAATATAATATAATGGTCATAGGATGTCGATCAGAAATGAAAAGCATCACTTACAGAGGATATCTGGCGCTGTTCCCACGATGTAATCCTTACTGTAAGGAAGGCTCTTGATTGCGTCCTTGGCCAAGTTCGTGATCCGCCTCTGTGGAGATATCATGAGTGGTTGAGTGGTTCTGTCAGTTAATGAGTGAGTGAGTGAGTGAGTGAGTGTTTCCTTTCGATTGTTGTTAAGCGCAGATCTCAGCAATATTCCAGATATATGGCGGCGGTCTGTAAATAGTCCAATCTGGACCAGACAATCCAGTGACCAACAGTAGAACCATCGACTACTCAACTGGGATACGATAAGATGTGTCAACCAAGTCAGCGAGCCTGACCAACTGATCCCGTTAGTCGCCTCTTATGACAAGCATGGGTTACTGAAGACAGTTCCGTTCGTTACTGGGTGAGAGGGTGTGTAAGTGAGTATGTAGGTCGCTCTGTGAGTGAGTGAGGGATTTAAAGGTTGTCAATTAAGGAGCGCATCTGAGGTGAAGAGAGGTGAGGTGAAATGGGGTTTAACGTTGCACTTAAGAATATTTCGCTCATATGACGACGTGCATGCGTGTGTATATGTGGCAGCTTGTACTAGCCCAAATATAACATATGTTACATTTGACAACTTTCTAAATCATAGCTTTCGAGAGCCGTGACAATTTACATTTATCAGAGGAGTACACAAAGTCCGCAGTCTAGACTACCAGTTGTCCGACTTCCATTTTTGTGGAAGTCACGATGTTTGAGCGGGTTAGGGGGCTGACTTAGTGTGCTAGCAATTAGGTGCCTGACTCTGAGGGTGTGGGTTCGAATCCCAGATGGGACTCAACCCAACAAAAGTTCAAGAACCTGTACTTTACTAAGAAACTGTAATCACAAATATAACATAAGTTACATTTGACCACTTTCTAAATGACATTGTGTAAAATACTCACAGCTTTTACCATTTCTGGTGCCCCCCGCCTCGACATTGATGGAATATTGCTAAAAGCGGCGTAAACATTAACTCACTCACTCATAGCATTTAAATAAACGATACGTGGTACCAGGAACATCTGTAAAACTTCACATTTAAACGGTTCCCTATGTACAGAAGCGGTATGACGCGGACGAAAGTCGAACCCGACCTGCCGCTCTAAACGCGCTGTCAACCAGATACGTACTATCTCAGCCGTATTAGCCGGCTCGGTGTTCTCGGCATACCCGTATGGTACCAGGAGATATTGGGAGTAAGAGTGGACCGATAGGTAGGCGGAGATTGGGCCTTCGTTGCTCTGGATACTGGCCACCCAGTCTCGGATGTTCCTCGTCTCCGCCTCGGAGAAGACGCTGCTGCCGTGGTAGGTGTCGGAGAAACAGCTGGAGGAAGATCCGCTACCTGGGGAGGAAGACAGATTTCATTAACGCAACTTTTGATCGTATCTAGTGAAGAGATTGAGCCAGTGATAGTTGTTTTTACAAAAACATCGTTTCCATATGAGTTTGTTTTCGGGTTTTTTTATGATTAAGTTAAAAGGATCATCGACTATCTGTTTCGTCACCCAGTACGATGTCAATGCCCAATGTTCATTGTGATGTTGCAAACGTAGCTATTGACAGGAAACATTTACCTCCAAAATTTGCGTCCCAGTTTCTGTTGAGGTCGACACCGCGGCCGAAGATGGAACTGCAGGTGTTCCTGTTCTTCCTCCACAGCCGATCCTGGAGAACACAACCATGTGGCTCTGACACACGACAGCTCACCATTTCAACATCAGCGTATAACTCCGTTTGTGTGAGTGTTTGCGTCCGGGTTCGTGTATCGTGTCTGTGTGTGTGTCTGTGTGTATCTCACTCTCTCTCTCTTTCTGTCTCGTGTATTTGTTTCTGTTCGGGTTTGTGTCTCGTTTATTTGTTTGTATTCGGGGTTGTGTCTAGTGTGTGTGTGGGGGGGTATTTGTGTTCGGGTTTGGGTCTCGTGTGTGTGCGTATCGTGTATGTGTGAGTGCTTGTGTTCGTGTATGTGTCTCGTGTATTTGTTTCTGTTCGGGTTTGTGTCTCGTTTTTGTGTTTGTGTTCGGGTTTGTGTCTCGTGTATTGTATAGGTATATCCTTTACACATGGTTGATGTAACTTATGTGTGTGTGTGGGGGGGGGGGGGGCTACGCGCGCACAGATGTAGCCATCAAGGCTTGGTGAGTGGGACTTACACGCGGCTGTGTGTAGGCTTAGCCACCAGAGTTGGGGTCAGTGACGATGTAAATACACTGGCGTGTATGTAGGCATAGCCATCAGGGTTTGTGACAGTGACGATGTACTTACATTGGTGTGTGTAGGCATAGCCATCCGAGTTGGTGACAGTGACGATGTAAATACACTGGTGTGTGTAGGCATAGCCATCAGGGTTTGTGACAGGGACGATGTACTTACACTGGTGTGTGTGTAGGCATAGCCATCAGGGTAGGTGACAGAGACGATGTACTTTCACTGGTGTGTGTAGGCATAGCCATCAGGGTTGGTGACAGTGACGATGTACTTACACTGGTGTGTGTAGGCATAGCCATCAGGGTTGGTGACAGTGACGATGTACTTACACTGGTGCGTGTAGGCATAGCCATCAGGGTAGGTGACAGGGACGATGTTACACTTTGTGTGTAGGCACTGGGTGTGTGCAGGCATAGCCATCAGGGTTGGTGACAGTGACGATGTACTTACACTGGTGTGTGTGTAGGCATAGCCATCAGGGTTGGTGACAGGGACGATGTACTTACACTGGTGTGTGTGTAGGCATAGCCATCAGGGTTGGTGACAGTGACGATGTACTTACACTGGTGTGTGTGTAGGCATAGCCATCAGGGTTGGTGACAGGGACGATGTACTTACACTGGTGTGTGTAGGCATAGCCATCAGGGTTGGTGACAGGGACGATGTACTTACACTGGTGTGTGTGTACACTGGTGACAGGGACGATGTTACACTGTGTAAGGCATAGCCATCAGGGTTGGTGACAGGGACGATGGGTTGGTGACAGGGACGAATGGACCCTTTCAATAAGGTTGGGCGGACCCTGTCTACTCACCTTGTCCACAAAATACATCGTTGATGCTGGGGTCACCCACTCTCTGGCGTGAATCCCGGCCTCGATGAAGATTCGTTTCTTGCCAGAAACACTGGGGTTGTTATCTGGAGTCAAGAAAATAGTTAATCCAGTCACATGTATTCTGTATCGTTCTACCATTTTGTCTGTTTGTTTTTCCGCGTTAAAATTTAACCACCACCCCAACTCAATTGCAACTTGGAATGCATATGTCTGTTGTCATGTTCTTTGACGCGTCTTTAGTACTATTCCAGTTACAGCTGGTTATTAAGATTGAGAAAATGCTCTTGAAAAGAATTAACGATTATCAATATGGAAATTATGTCATTGATAATATGTAACATACACTAATCAGAACAAATGTTGATTCAAACAGATAACGATTACAAGTCGACTTATGCCGAAGACGGAATGATATCTGCCCGTCACGTTTTAAAGACAGAATACACTTTTAATTATGAGTTATTTGATGGGCATTTAGAAGAGATGAACTTGAGTCGAATATATTGTGTTTGTCATGTTGATTCTGGCCATGATTTTCTGGTATTGTTGTTTCTGGTGTTTACATTCCGGTGTTGTTGATTCTGGTCTGGACATGTTGGCTTGGGTCTTTACATTCTGGTCTTCTTGTGTCTGGTCTGGACATTCTGGTCTTGATGTTTCTGGTCTGGACATTTTGGTCTTTATGTTTCTGGTCTGGACATTCTGGTCTTGTTGTTTCTGGTTTGGACATTCTGGCCTTGATGTTTCTGGTCTGGACATTCTGGTCGTTGTGTTTCTGGTCTGGTCATTCCGGTCTTGTAGTTTCTGGTCTGGACATTCTGGTCTAGACATTCTGGTATTGATGTTTCTGGTCTGGACATTCTGGTCTTGATGTTTCTGGTTTGGACATTCTGCTTTTGATGATTCTGGTCTGGACATTCTGGTCTTGATGTTTCTGGTCTGGACATTCTGGTTTTGATGATTCTGGTCTGGACATTCTGGTCTTGATGTTTCTACTCTGGACATTCTGGTCTTGATGTTTCTGGTCTGGACATTCTGGCCTTGCTGTTTCTGGTCTGGACATTCCAGACTTGTTGTTCCTGGTCTGGGCATTCTGATCTTGTTGTTTCTAGTCTGGACACTCTGGTCTTGTTGTTTCTCGTTTGGACATTCTGGTCGTTATGGTTCTGGTCTGGACATTCTGGCCTTGATGTTTCTGGTCTGGACATTCTGGTCTTGTTGTTTCTAGTCTGGACATTCGTGTCTTGTTGTTTCTGGTTTGGACATTCTGGTCTCTGATGTTCTGGTCTGGACATTCTGGTCTGGACATTCTGGACATTCTGGTCTTTTTGTTTCTAGTCTGGACATTCGTGTCTTGTTGTTTGGTTTGGACATTCTGGCTTTCATGACATTCTGGTCTTGCTGTTTCTGGTCTGGACATGTTCTTGTTGTTTCTGGTCTGGACATTCTGACCTTGATGTTCCTAGTCTGGACATTCTGGTCTTGTTGTTTCGGGTCTGGACATTCTGGTCGTTATGTTTCTGGTCTGGACATTCTGGTCTTGTTGTTTCTCGTTTGGACATTCTAACCTTGATGTTCCTAGTCTGGACATTCCGGTCTTGTTGTTTCGGGTCTGGACATTCTGGTCGTTATGTTTCTGGTCTGGACATTCTGCTCGTTGTATTTCTGGTCTTGACATTTTGTTGTTGTTGTTTAAGGTCTGGGCATCCTGGTCTTGTTGTTTCTGGTCTGGACATTCTGGTCTTGATGTTTCTTGTCTGGACATTCTGGTCTTGTTGATTCTGGTCTGGACATTCTAGTCTTGTTGTTTCTGGTTTGGAAACTCTGGTCTTGTTTCTTGTCTGGACATTCTGGTCTTGTTCTTTCTCATTTGGACATTCTGGTCTTGATGTTTCTGGTCTGGACATTCTGGTCTTGATGTTTCTGGTCTGGACATTCTGGTCTTGATGTTTCTGGTCTGAACATTCTGGTCTTGATGTTTCTGGTCTGGACACTCTGGTCTTGTTGTTTCTCGTTTGGACATTCTGGTCGTTATGGTTCTGGTCTGGACATTCTGGCCTTGATGTTTCTGGTCTGGACATTCTGGTCTTGATGCTTCTCGTCTGTACATTCTGGTCTGGACATTCTGGTCTTGTTGTTTCTTGATTGGACATTCTGGTCTTGTTGTTTCTGGTCTGGACATTCTGGTCTTGTTGTTTCTCGTTTGGACATTCTAGTCGTTGTGTTTCTGGTCTGGACATTCTAGTCGTAATGTATCTGGTCTGGAAATTCTGGTCTTGATGTTTCTGGTCTGGACATTCTGGTCTTGTTCTTTCTCGTTTGGACATTCTGGTCTGGACATCCTGGTCTTGATGTTTCTGGTCTAGACATTCTGGTCTTGATGTTTCTGGTCTGTACATTCTGGTCTTGTTTTTTCTGGATTGGAGATTCTGGTCTTGTTTCTGGTTTGGCCATTCTGGTCGTTTTATTTCTGGTCTGGACATTCTGGTCGTTATGTTTCTCATCCAGACATTCTGGCCTTGATGTTTCTGCCTCTAGATATTCTGTCTCTTGTAGTTTTTGGTCTTGACATTCTGGTGTTGTTGTTTCTGGTCTAGACATTCTGATCTTGATGTTTCTGGTCTGCACATTCTGGTTTTGTTTTTTTCTGGTCTGGACATTCTGGTCTTGTAGTTTCTGGTTTGGATATTCTGGTCTTGTTGTTTCTGGTCTAGACATTCTGGTTGTTTCTGGTCTGAACATTCTGGTCGTTATGTTTCTCATCTGGACATTCTGGCCTTGATGTTTCTGCTCCAGACATTCTGTTCCTGTAGTTTTTGGTCTGGACATTCTGGTGTTGTTGTTTCGGGTCTGGACATTCTGGTCTTGTTGTTTCTGGTCTGGACATCCTGGTCTTGTTGTTTCCTGGTCTAGACATTCTGATCTTGATGTTTCTGGTCTGGACATTCTGGTTTTGATGATTCTGGTCTGGACATTCTGGTCTTGATGTTTCTACTCTGGACATTCTGGTCTTGATGTTTCTGGTCTGGACATTCTGGCCTTGCTGTTTCTGGTCTGGACATTCCAGACTTGTTGTTCCTGGTCTGGGCATTCTGATCTTGTTGTTTCTAGTCTGGACACTCTGGTCTTGTTGTTTCTCGTTTGGACATTCTGGTCGTTATGGTTCTGGTCTGGACATTCTGGCCTTGATGTTTCTGGTCTGGACATTCTGGTCTTGTTGTTTCTAGTCTGGACATTCGTGTCTTGTTGTTTCTGGTTTGGACATTCTGGTCTTGATGTTTCTGGTCTGGACATTCTGGTCTGGACATTCTGGTATTGACGTTTCTTGTTTGGACACTCTGGTCTTTTTGTTTCTAGTCTGGACATTTGTGTCTTGTTGTTTCTGGTTTGGACATTCTTGCTTTCATGTTTCTGGTCTGGACATTCTGGTCTTGCTGTTTCTGGTCTGGACATTCGTGTCTTGTTGTTTCTGGTCTGGACATTCTGACCTTGATGTTCCTAGTCTGGACATTCTGGTCTTGTTGTTTCGGGTCTGGACATTCTGGTCGTTATGTTTCTGGTCTGGACATTCTGGTCTTGTTGTTTCTCGTTTGGACATTCTAACCTTGATGTTCCTAGTCTGGACATTCTGGTCTTGTTGTTTCGGGTCTGGACATTCTGGTCGTTATGTTTCTGGTCTGGACATTCTGGTCTTGTTGTTTCTAGTCTGGACATTCGTGTCTTGTTGTTTCTGGTTTGGACATTCTGGTCTTGATGTTTCTGGTCTGGACATTCTGGTCTGGACATTCTGGTATTGACGTTTCTTGTTTGGACATTCTGGTCTTTTTTTTTTCTAGTCTGGACATTCGTGTCTTGTTGTTTCTGGTTTGGACATTCTTGCTTTCATGTTTCTGGTCTGGACATTCTGGTCTTGCTGTTTCTGGTCTGGACATTCGTGTCTTGTTGTTTCTGGTCTGGACATTCTGACCTTGATGTTCCTAGTCTGGACATTCTGGTCTTGTTGTTTCTGGTCTGGACATTCTGGTCGTTATGTTTCTGGTCTGGACATTCTGGTCTTGTTGTTTCTCGTTTGGACATTCTAACCTTGATGTTCCTAGTCTGGACATTCTGGTCTTGTTGTTTCGGGTCTGGACATTCTGGTCGTTATGTTTCTGGTCTGGACATTCTGCTCGTTGTATTTCTGGTCTTGACATTTTGTTGTTGTTGTTTAAGGTCTGGGCATCCTGGTCTTGTTGTTTCTGGTCTGGACATTCTGGTCTTGATGTTTCTTGTCTGGACATTCTGGTCTTGTTGATTCTGGTCTGGACATTCTAGTCTTGTTGTTTCTGGTTTGGAAACTCTGGTCTTGTTGTTTCTTGTCTGGACATTCTGGTCTTGTTCCTTCTCATTTGGACATTCTGGTCTTGATGTTTCTGGTCTGGACATTCTGGTCTTGATGTTTCTGGTCTGGACATTCTGGTCTTGATGTTTCTGGTCTGAACATTCTGGTCTTGATGTTTCTGGTCTGGACACTCTGGTCTTGTTGTTTCTCGTTTGGACATTCTGGTCGTTATGGTTCTGGTCTGGACATTCTGGCCTTGATGTTTCTGGTCTGGACATTCTGGTCTTGATGCTTCTCGTCTGTACATTCTGGTCTGGACATTCTTGTCTTGTTGTTTCTTGATTGGACATTCTGGTCTTGTTGTTTCTGGTCTGGACATTCTGGTCTTGTTGTTTCTCGTTTCATTCTAGTCGTTGTGTTTCTGGTCTGGACATTCTAGTCGTCGTTATGTTTCTGGTCTGGACATTCTGGTCTTGATGTTTCTGGTCTGGACATTCTGGTCTTGTTGTTTCTCGTTTGGACATTCTGGTCTTGTTGTTTCCTGGTCTTGATGTTTCATTTTCTAGTCTGGAGACATTCTGGTCTTGATGTTTCTGGTCTGGACATTCTGGTCTTTGTTGTTTCTGGTCTGGACATTCTGGTCTTGATGCATTCTCGTCTGTACTGGACATTCTGGTCTGGACATTCTGGTTGTTTCTTGATTGGACATTCTTGGTTGATCTGGTCTGGTCTTGTTGTTTCTGGTCTGGACATTCTGGTCTTGATGTTCTTGTCTGGACATTTCTACTGGATGTTGTTTCTCGTTTGGACATTCTAGTCGTTGTGTTTCTGGTCTGGACATTCTAGTCTTTATGTTTCTGGTCTGGACATTCTCTGGTCTTGTTGTTTCTGGTCTGGACATCCTGGTCTTGTTGTTTCTGGTCTGGACATTCTGGTCTTGATGTTTCTGGTCTGGACATTCTGGTCGATGATTTCTGGTCTGGACATTCTGGTCTTGATGTTTCTGGACTCCTGGGACATTCTGGTCTTGTTGTTTCTGGTCTGGACATTCTGGTCTTGATGTTTCTGGTCTGGACATTCTGGTCTTGTTGTTTCTGGTCTGGACATTCTGATCTTGTTGTTTCTGGTCTGGACACTCTGGTCTTGGTCTCGTTGGACATTCTGGTCGTTATGGTCTGGTCTGGACATTCTGGTCTTGATGTTTCTGGTCTGGACATTCTGGTCTTGATGTTTCTGGTCTGGACATTCTGGTCTTGATGTTTCTGGTCTGGACATTCTGGTCTTGATGTTTCTGGTCTGGACATTCTGGTCTTGATGTTTCTGGTCTGAACATTCTGGTCTGTTTCTGGTC